ACCCACGTGCTCGCCCGCGCGCCCGTGCCAGCTTGCACTCGACCGCGATCCCGCTGGCGCTCGCCAGCGCGGCCACTCGCGCACTTGCCGGGTCGGGTCCGGGTTCGAACATCAGACACATTTACCTACCCGGGTGGGGTTAGGATCGAGCCATTTGAACCCGGGTCATTTCCGGGCTCGACCCCGTGACCCGAAACTGACACCCCTACTTTTTAGGCACATTTCATTACCAATATATGAGTCTATTTTCTCATAGCAATTGGATGGATGAATCGGTGTTTTTATAGTTTTTTTGTGAAATTAAAAATATGTGTTGAAGTTGAAAGGTTCTTTCAAGAAAATAAACAATTGTGCAAAATAAAATACATACAAGGTGAGTAAAAACGCACAATCAATATTTATATGATTCAGCCAAATCCCAACCTGCATTGATTCAAACTTAGGCTTCGTTTGTGACCCCTTTCTTACGGCTTCTTAAAGAAGCTTTTTAGTTCAAAAATTAAAATTTTTGTTTTAGAAAGCTGCTTTAAGAAGCAGTAAAAAAAGTCATCCCAAATGAAGCATTAGTAAATTTTTTTTTTTTTCAATTTTTTCTCTTTGATAGACTCCCAATACACTCAAAAAACCATTTAAAAATCAATTATAAAATATCTTACAAATTCATATGGAAAAGCTAAACAAAGAGGTAAAAGTTAGTTTTCTAACTATTATGTGTGCCAGGGTTATTACTAGCTAAACTAGATTTAAAGGGAAAAAATTAATATCCTATTGTAATTTGCATCAAGATGGCCTTACGATCCATTGGATTTGCATTTATCAGATTAGTACAACTCATGATATTGTATTATAATAATCTAAATTTTAACTCAATCAAATAATTTTTTTAGGAGTTTGCATTTATGTCCACCGATAATAGTACGACGACCGGTCCAGTGGATTATCCGTCGGTTGTTCCGACGTACAATTTCCGCGCGAAATATCGGCGGAATAAATGCCAAAATTTGCCCCCTTTAAAGACGTTGTTTTCACCAATTTTGCACCGAAAAAACGTTGGAAAATACGCCGGAAACGTTTCTAGCGGAAATGTTACGCCAATATAGATTTTCGGACACATGAATTATCGTAGGAGCAGTTTTCGCCGGTATTTCACCGAAAATAAGGATTTTCCGCTGGATTTTTTGTGTTACCGGCAAATGTTGTCCGCCGATAACATCACGTTTTCCTGTAGTGACGCCTCTTACTTTCTTCATCGAATTATGTCAGTTATATCATACTAATGCATTCCCTCATTACAAGAAAGGGCATCATTTACAATATATAACTTATCATCCATGAATCATTTTTATATTTCTCCATTTTTGAACATTTAAATATATATTAAATACCATCACCCCAAATCCTAAAATACGAAAAATAATTAATAATAATAATACCATGCCATTTCAACCGCATAGAGCCGCCCTCTCACTATGCCATTTATATTATTCCACATAATATATATGCTAACTATTATAATCGATATTATCTATAATTACCCAATCATTAAAATAATCCATTTGAAACATGTTGCATTTCATCATGAACTACCTCGTCAAACTTATCTTAGTTCAATATCTATTGGATCTTAACAGCTAATGATAAAGTAAATAATCATTATAAATTTTGTGAAATTGGACTCGAATCGGCGTCGATTAATGTCAAATTTCGTTCGATTAGGCTTGATTGGGTTCGATTTGGCCCGATTTGGGTCGGTCTCAGTCGATTTGCGAAAATATACGTCAACATGCTAAATCAAACATTTCCTGCCTTTACGATCTTACCTAAAGTAGTAATAAAGATCTTTGGTTGCTTTTTCTTTGTTTACAACTAGAATAAAAGTATAAAAATAAAAAAAAAAACAGATCCTATGGCATGACAATTTTTTTTTTTTTTTTTTTTTTTGTTAAAAAGAAATTTATTTGCCGCCCTCATGTCACTCTTAGGTGATTTAGATACTTTATGTAAATTAGAAAAAAATTAATATTATAAAAAATAGTTATTAGTAATTGTTAGGTTTTAGGTAAATTAATTGAGGCTTCATTTGAGATGACTTTCTTACTGCTTCGTAAAGTGACTTTTTAGTACAAAAATTAAAAATTTTATACTAAAAATTTACTTTAAGAAATAGTAATAAAATCATCCCAAATGAAGCCTAAAAGATATTGCTTACTAATTCTTAAAAAGCCAATGATAATGAATGTATAATAGAAAGATTGAAGGATTAGTTAAGTATGAAATATAGATATTAGAAGTCAACGATTATAAGTGTGTATTAGATGACAAAAAAAGGATTAATGAATAAATTTCTCAATACAATTGAATTTTTTGTTTATGTGATTGCAAAATTACCAATTATTATTTTCTGAAAAAATTTAGGTGCCCTTACTCTAAACATAAAAATCAATGATAATGAATCTATAAAAATCAATTATATTGAGGGGTTTCAAATCAAGTGGTGCCTGCTGCTTCATCCATCCTTCTAGTGATTCTCTTTTTGGCTTTTTTTTTTTTTTTTTTATTTGGTTTTATTTTCGAACAATAATGTTTATGTTGGTCACATAAAAAGGAGGCCTTCCGATGACCTGGTTAGGAGAGTAGAGGTATTAGATTTGACTTGTGTTAAGAAAGGTAGGGGTAGACCTAAAAAGACTTGGTTAGAAAATATTAGGAATGACCTTTCTTTATTAGATTTAAACAAGAATTTGACTTTTAATAAGACACAATGGAGAAAAAGGATTCATGTAGCAGACCCCACGTAGTGGGATAAAGGCTTGATGATGTTGTTGTTGTTGGTTTTAATTTTGTAATAGATAGAATTATTGGCTCATAAGTTTTATTTCAAATGGTGTTCTTTTACCTAGCCTTTGATTCTTTAAAGACTTGTAACTTTTCCTTCATTCCCTTTGTAGGTTTCTAACATATAATATATCTAACACTTGATGAAGTCATAGTAGATTTATATCAAAGCCGATAAACCCTATTGCTATAGTTTACTTGATCAAAATTCTAGTAACATATTAATAATTTGAAAATGACATAATTAAAAGTTATAAATATAGTTTATAAAATAAATCTTCTATAGAATGAGTATACACACCTTAGAGATGTAATGAGTCAAATATTTATGAGATATGGGTCAGTGGATGAATCTTCTAGCTCACCAATTAGGTTTTATGCTATGGACTATGGAGCATGATGAAAGAGGAAATGAAAATTTTATGTGTTAGGCTCCCAAGACATAATATATGATGCAACATATATATCATAACTATATAAGGGATAATATATAAGAACGTATGAGATTATATATAATACTCATATGACAGAGGGTTTACATGCAAGCATGAATGATATGCATGCGAAAATTAAAGCTCTATGGCTGGCAAAAAGCATCATCATGAGATGATGAGAATTGGACATCAAAAGATGAAGAAGAGAGTGCCAGTGACAGAGATTTGGACAAATGTTTTATTTTAATGTTTTGCTACGTTCGTTATATGTGTAATGTTTAATTTGAAATATTTGGTTGATTCAAATTTGTTTAACTACACTTTTATTTAGCTATATTAACATAAAATATTTCTCTATAATGTAATGTGATGTAATATGGATCGGATATCATATATTCATGATGTGATATGTACAATTAAATTTTGTAGGGAGGTGTTGCCAAAAATAAAAAATAAAAATCAGTACAATTTTCAATAAAAAAAAAAGCTCATTGGAATTTGACCGAGGAAATGGAAGAAAATGTCTATAGAAGCCAAACTAACGAGTTGAACTATTGCATTTTCCTAAGAAAAATTTGTTGGAATTTTGGTGGAACAACTCCATTCATGAATTTTTTAATTGCATTTTTCTTGATAGGTTCCTTCAAATTATCCATTGAAACTATTTTTACATAAGATCCTTACTAGAAAAAAGGGCTACTGCAACACAAAATTAAATCTTTTCTGGTGGTTTAAACTGCCACAAATTTCCTTACAGCGATTATAGAACCGCTACATGACAGTTGTGATTGCAATACACTCCAAAAATATTCTGCAACGGTTCTATGACCACTGGGGTAGACATGACAATCCAGTTATAATAGCAGTTAAAACCGATGCAATTTGTAGTTGTCAAAATTGATGCTAAAAGAGGATTTTGATCGAGGTTCTAAAACCGCTCTTAACATCTGCTGTGAAATATCTCGTTTTTTAGTAGTGTGATCATTGATAAATTCTTTCACCATGACTTTCTTGGGCCAATAAATTAAAAATCGATCGTAAACCCTTTAAGGACATAACATTCTGACAAATTTTCTTGATTTTCTATTTTGTTTTTCTATTTTGTTTTTTTCAGTAGAAAAACTACTATTTTCCAATAGTAGTTGGGAGTGGTTGCACAAAATCTCTAGTGAAAGGCCAAAAAGATGTAACTAGGCTTAGCTAAATATTAGATTAGGTTAACATAGCTCATTCAAATTACCTGAGCCGACAAGACCCACCAATTTAAATTAATATTATTTCTTAGTAATGGATTACCACTCACATGTTGAATAGATCAATTTTACATGATATATTATATACACACTATCATATATTATGAGAGAAGATCATAATTAAATTACTATCATATATTATCATGTCATAAATGTGCTGAAGAAATGTTAAAAAAAATTATTGTGTTGAAGAAATGGAAAGCGCATTTCCCTTAACCAAACAAAATATTAAAAGCTAAACAATAAATAAGCTTGACAAGTCACCAGAAGAATTTGGCCCAAGTAAAGCTAATAAATAAACAACCAAGTCAGCGGATTCTCCTCCAATTCTCAACACCATTCCTCTTGTTTTATAAAGACTCACAGACACCTTTCTTCCCTGCTAAAGAGAGAGAGATCGAGACCAATTGATTAACAAAGAAGAAGACTGAGATGATGATGAAGACCTTACCATGGCCGCCATCTTCTTCAAGCTTCCTCCTCCTTCCTCCATCACCAACTTCTGCCTTTCTGTTCTTTCTCCTCTGCCTCATCCTTCACCTTGCTATCAAGTCCCTTCATTTCCTTTGGGTCAAGCCGAGGAAAACAGAGAGCTTTTTCTGGAGCCAAGGCCTTCGTGGCCCTCCTTACCGTTTTATCTTCGGCAACCTCGGCGAGATGGTTTCCATGATGCTGGAAGCCTCGTCCAAACCCATGAGACCACCTTACTCTCACAACATCCTTCCTCGCGCTCTCTCCTTCTACCACCACTGGAAGAAAGCTTATGGTAATTTGAAAAACTTATAATATCTTACTATAAATTCTGTATTTTGCATCTTTGATTGAAGAAGTGAGTTAATTAATGTGCATTATAGGATCGACCTTTCTCTTATGGTTCGGCCCAACGCCGCGGCTCACCGTTGCCGACCCCGACCTCATCAGAGAGATCTTTGTCTCCCGGGCGGCGGATTTTGACCGTTATGAAGCTCATCCTCTCATCAGACAGCTTGAAGGAGATGGACTTGTTAATCTCCGCGGCGCCAAATGGGCTCTCCACCGAAAGCTCATCTCTCCAGTCTTCCATATGGACAACTTAAAAGTAATTAAGATTCAAACAATATCAATCAATATATATATTATTTTGTCTGTTGTCATTCTTCATCTGAAAATTTGACTCTTTCCACAGCTATTAATGCCGGCTATAGGGGAGAAGATGGCTTCCATTCTGGATAAGCTTTCTGAAGCGGCGAGATCTTCGGGAGAGGTGGAGTTAGATGTGGCAGATTGGTATCAGAGCCTTACGGAAGAAGCCATTACTCGAGCGACATTTGGTCGTAGTTATGATCAAGGAAAAGCTGTGCTCAAGTTGCAGACGAAGCTTATGGTATTTGCCGCCGAAGCCTTCAATAGAGTCTTCATCCCTGGTTACAGGTGAGAACCAAAGATGCAAAGGTGTCAAATTTCCTTATCAGCAAAAAATTTCTGCGATAAAAGTCTTAAAAAGATTACTTTTTTGTAACCTGTAGATTTTTACCGACTGAGAAGAACAGGAAAAGATGGAAGCTGGATAAGGATATTAGAGATAATTTACTGAGTTTGGTTGGTTGTCGGAGAGAGCAGAAGGAGGAGGAGGAGGAGGCGGCCGCCGCCGAAGAGGCGAAGGATTTGCTTGGTCAAATGACTGCGGCGGCGGCGGGCATCACGGTCAACGATGTAGTGGAGGAGTGTAAGACTTTTTTCTTCGCGGGTAAGCAGACCACGACTAATCTGCTGACATGGACCACCGTCCTTCTAGCCATGCATCCGGAATGGCAGGACCTGGCACGTGAGGAGCTCTTCCGCGTCTGCGGCTCACGTGATCTGCCCTCCAAAGACGACCTTCCCAAACTAAAGACGGTAATTATTTATTAATTAATAATCATGATTAGCAAATTACGAAAAAGGCCCTAATGTATTGCAATTTCAGCTGGGAATGATTGTGAACGAGACGCTGCGGCTGTACCCGCCGGCGGTGGCGACGATCCGACGGGCGAAGGCTGACGTGAAGTTGGGAGGGTACGTTGTCCCGCGAGGCACTGAGATATTGGTCCCCATCATCGCCGTCCACCACGATGCGGGGCTTTGGGGCCCTGATGCGGCGCGGTTTAACCCGAACCGGTTCGGCGACGGAGTGAGCCGGGCGGCCCGACACCCAAATGCCTTCATGCCATTTGGTCTGGGTCAGCGCATGTGCGTCGGCCGGGGCCTCGCCGTCCTGGAGGCCAAGCTGGCGCTCGCCGCCGTGCTACGTCGCTTTGAGATTCGTCTATCGCCTAATTACGTGCATGCACCAACGGTTCTGATGATGCTGTATCCACAATATGGTGCTCCGGTGATCTTCCGTCCGATTTGTGTTGATCGGTGATGGTCAAATTGACGAAAATGACACTAACAGTTGGACAAAATGACTTAGGAAGTTTTTTTTTTTTAGTTTTTTTTCAATTGTTTTGTTATAAGATTTTTTTTTTGGTTTAAATTAATGCAAATGAAAAAGAAGACAAACTCCCTTCTGTTATTTTGCATAAAATTATTTTGTAATTACTGACATTGTTGGGGGTGTAGTAGTAATATAACTTTATGCTTGTGTGTACCCTTATTTGTTTACTTGATTTGAACTAAACGTAAAAGAAAAGCAAATCAAAACAAATTATTTAAAAAATGCAATGATTTTTTTTTTTTTAATTTGAGGATTTTTTTTAAGTAATTATTACAAATATAAGTATTTAAATATTATTCTATAAATATATAAAACTTTGGACTTTCAAGTAATAATCACGTTTAAAATTAGGGCATTCCACTTATTCAATTAATACTCTTTAGAAATAAATATAGAATTCTCGTTTTCTTTGTCGTCATTTTTTGTTATATGAAAGGTCTCTTTGGTCAGCTAAGAATATAATATAACTTATTCAATTAAAAGGATAAGTTCTAAGTTAAAAAATATATAAAAAGAAATTCTATGATGTAAAATATGTTTTTTTATATTTTATCTGAATTTTTTATTCAAATATTAGGTTTTTGATTGAAACATAAAATTTCATTAGAATTTGATTTTTTTTTCATTCAATAATGAAATCACAATAAAATTATCAATTAAATATTACTTTGATAACATTAATTATTAAATTTGAACTTGTTTTTATCGAATGTCCTATGTTACGTTAGGGTTTCGATGATGCCACATTTTGAGTTTTGCATTTATTTAGGGCCATTTGGTTTGACGAAAAAGGAATACTTAGTAAAATGGAATATACTGTAAAAAGAATATAACATATTTGAAATGTTTGAATTTTTTTCGATGAGTACAAAATAAATGTAAGTGATTATCATCTTTGTTTGACTTGAAAAAATGATTGCAGTGTAAAGCCTAACAATGATGGTCAGGAGGCTATAGCCAACAATGGCGGGGCCAACGGCCAGTGGCTGGTGGTGGCGGCAGTCATCGTCCAAAGGCGATTGTCAATGGTGGTGGAGAATGTCTAGCATATAGCGGCAAGATCGAGCAATAGCCCATGGAGAGCGGCAACATACAATATTGAACAATGTTTGGTGGCTAACGGTGAGCGAAAGGTGGCGAAGACATAATTTGTCTAATTTGAAAAGATTAATATGTAATTTATTGAAATTAATCATTAAATTTTGTGCACTGAATTTACCTTTTTACCTAAATATAATTAGATTAAATTTGGCAAATGTTATTAGCTTAAAATTAATTGCTTAATTCGCTAAGAAGTTGGTGAGGAGGTTTAATGCTAATTTATGTTTAGATGATACCAAATGGCTTATAAATTTAGTACACATATGCTTATAAATTTAGAATAAGTAAAAGCTAGAAGCAACTTGGAAAGTACTCAAGCTTATAAAATATTTAAAAATCAATTTTGTTAATCACATGCTAAGTAAACCCTTAATTAATGACAAAATAAATTAATTATGAAAATCTCTCCAAGTTCTTCATTCTTCAACGATAAAATTTAAGTTCTAAATAAGGTGTAGAACTTTTTATTTATTTTGAAAATTTTTGTGTAATAATTCTTTGCCAAATATTACAAATCTTAATATTAAAAAGATTCATCTTTTTTTTTTTTGCATTTTTTTGCATTAAAAAAAGGGGATTTTTACATACATAATACCTAAAACTACTGAAAATATACATTTAATACCTAAACTTCTATATTTACTAATATATCACCTAAATCCCCTCTTTTAATCAATTCTAACATTCCATTTACCTTCTGTCAAAAATCACTATCAACGACTATCTTCCCTGCCCTTTCACATTGAATACAAGTATCTCATCGCTTCAATGGAGTGGTAAAATAGAAGGAAAAGGGGATTTTAGGTGGTATATTAGTAAATATAGAAGTTTAGATATTAAATATGTATTTTCAATAATTTTAGGTGTTATGTATGTAAAAATCCCTAAAAAAATACATAATCTTTAATACAAAATTTACTCTTGCAAATTCATAAATTTTAATGCAAGTAATAATTTTTAGGATTATTTTTTGAAGGATTAAGAAATCAAATAAATAAAAAAACAAGAGGCCATTTGGGACAGTTGCAATGTTTTATAAACTTGGTTGTGAAGTTAATATGAAGAAAATAACTTTGTTGCTTTTGTTGTAAGAAACAATTTTCGAAACTAAAATTTTTTGAAAAACAGTAATCAAATAAAATTATGATTCCTGACTTACAAGTAAAACAGTAAAAATTATCTCAAACAAGCCTTAAATCTAACATCTAAAAAATATTTCACTCTATGGCCCGCCCATCTCTGATTAATTATTCTGTGCAAATACGAGACGAGTGAAATGTCTGGTTTTGTCTCTGTGAACATTAAAAGTTTAGTGAATTGTGCTTTCATTGTTCTTGCTACGCTTTTACTGCTCACAAGGTTATTCCCGTCCGTTGTCCGCACAGAATAATCTCTCTCCATCTCAAGATACATAGTAACACAAATTCTCCTTATGCTAACCTTATCCTTAATTACAATACTTAACTATTTTTTTCCTTAGCACATTAATGCATTCATTCATTATTATTACCTTATGCTGAGTTAATTATCCTCTGATATTATCAACCAAAGTACAAATACAAGTATGTAATTAATAGCTTAAGTACTTTTTAACCTAATTCCTCACTATTAAAGCTAAGTACATTTCTTGAAGGAAGCACACCTTGTCCTATTAATTAGTTCTTAATTGCTTAACTTGATTCTCTTGCTTGCTGCAAATCCTTGGCATTATAAACCTCCAATTAGATTATTTGGCCTGCTTTCCACTAAGGGCCATAAAGTTTTGGTACAACTGAAAAAATAATGTTAATTGCTTATATTTGTCTCTACATGAGATATAAATCCCAAGTCAATTAGTTGACAAGTGATAATCATCTTCTCTTGCATCATTAAGTAAGTAATTTCATTAATTAGTGCTCTTACCAATTAATTTGTGGTGGACAGCTCATGATGCACTGTATTTGATGCCAATCTAATCAAGGGATTAAGATATATATCTGATTTGGCACAATATGGTGTTTAAGATATTAATAACTAAAATTTTCTTGTACTATTATCATTTTGGAGTTATATATTTTAGTATTGGTCTACCCCTATTGAAATAATCCATCAAGTAAATATGATTATAAAAATTAATGAGATTAGGAAACTTTGATTGTTATTTTGACTTTTTTGTGAATGATAGGGTGCATTGTAGTAGTAGTGGTAGTCAAAGGTGATGAGTGATGACAACAATTAAGAGATCAATATTAGTTTGTAGATGTCGATGTTGTTGGAGAGTTGTGATGGTTAGGAGATAATTGTTGGATGACAATAGTCGAGCAATGATAATTTAGCGATAGTAGTTTGGCAATGGCAGTTGGGCGATGTCTATTAGAAGATGATGATAAGGTGGACAATGATTGGGTGTTGTCTGGTGATGTTCATCTGATGATAACTGTTGGAGGTGATTATTGATGTCGTGGTCGAATAAGGATCTAGTCGAATAAGGTTCTAGAGTAAATTGTCTTTTAAAATAAATTGCCTTGAAAATTCACGATGCAAAATTATTGTCACAAAAAATTTACAAGGTACGATCATTCTGTTGACATCAATGTGAACCTCCTATTGCAGTTGTGAAGCAAGTGAATTCTCCTCAACCAGAGTTCTTCTCTTTTTTATAAAGTTGGTGCATCAAATAAAAAAAATTTTATTGAAGTTGTTTTGCTCCAAATTCACTCAAAATTGATTTTAGAGACTTCTTTTTTTTTTTTCAAAACAAAAACTTTATTAATAAAACGAAAAAGGAGTACAAGATGCATAAAAATAAAACGATAAAAAGCAGCAAAAGATACAAAATGGTTACAACCCATCGGGCTCAGTAATTGGCATAGGCTTCCAACTACTCTGAAGCGAGGCACAAACCATCCAGTTTGGATCAGAGAGCAGAAATAAACCAAGTAGCCATCCCAACGGAGCAAGAAACTCACCACCAAAGGTTGCCATGAGCCTCGGCTTCGGAATAGTGAGTCCGCGCCACATCATTGCCCAGAAAAACAATATTGCCCAACAGTAAATTTAAGGAAGCTTCAGTGAACCGGCACTACCAAAGGTCAACCAGTGCCCACAAAACCACCAGCACAACGAAACCAACATCCATGGAGCAACAACAAAGATAACCGAAAATAACAGCACATCCCCATAAATTATTTCGTCCCATATTTACCACTCCCACGAGAGGAGACAGAAATAACAGGACGGTCTTTCTACAAAGTAAATTCAACCCCTGGTTCATCATCATCCTCACTAGCCTCCGAAGAGGAATCATATGAGCATTGAAGCCAATCTAGTTGCAACCTAACACTCTCCCCGGAATTGGCACCCACATGAGCAACTAAGGCCTTAGGGGATAATAAGTTAACTGGAATCTCAACAAAATGATCAGTTACATGAACAGTGGGCGTAACCGGGGAATTAAGAGTAGGAATATCACCACTAGAAGATTCCTCACTCACCACACCCAAATGGGAACACTCCCCACCCAAATTAAAAGGCAGCAGAGACCTAGGGGATAGATCATTAGGAATGCCAAAATCACCAGAAGCCTCGACACACAAGGCTCAACATTAGTAGACAACAAATACATGGCAGACATAGCACCCACCTTAGACAAAACAAGACAATAGTAAACCACACAACCCAAACTACCTCCAGCACTAGCACAAGCCCGAGGGACCTGAATAGAAGGTAATTCCCCAACCACACCATCCTCAGAAAATCTCCCAACTGATACAGCGGCAGCGCCCTTATCAACCGAAACCCAACCAATCAATGAATTCCCAAATAAAGGGGCAAGAGAAGACCCCAATTCTTGGACAGGAGGTAACAACGATGAAGCACCAGGGCACAGGACAGCAACAACAACTCCAGGATTACCAACATCACAACCCAAAACCTCCGTCACAGAAGGGACAATGACATTTTCAACATAAAGGAGAACTAAAT